TAGCAGTAGGGTGCTGCTTAGCTAAGACCACTGCAGAACGGAGTGCTCTGGCACTGCAGAGAAGGCAGAAACCAGGAGCTGTGCTGCAGGCCTCGAGCCTGCCTTTCTTCTGGTAAACAGTGGTCTCACCTTCCCTCTGTTGAGGATGGGCATAAGTCTTCAGTGCCTCTGTGGTCCAGCACATAGACACAGCATTTGGAGCACTGTTGATTTTGGCCACGTGCAGGTACAGAAGGGATGTTGAGATGTGGGGGCAGTGCACAAAGCCCAGCAGATGTACCCTGTGGCAGATAAAGCTGCAGCGGATGAGGTCACAGGCCAGACCCGGCATGCAGGTGGCAAGCTGGATCCTTAAGACGTGCAACTTCTTGCCTTGTGTCTCCTTTGTGGGCATTGCTGTTCTTCCAGCTGCTCCAAACAGGGGCAGGACAGGCAGTAAAACACAGAAATTTGAAAAACATGTTATCTAAAGCAACAAATTATTAAGCAAGTGTCACTTCTCCGGATATCCTCCTTTTCTTATCGAACAGCGCAGAAGAGCAAAGCAGGGTCATGTAATGGGGGAACACATTTGTTACAGCGGGTCGCTGGGTGGGTGAGACCATGGCAGCAAGCATCAGTGCAGGAGTGAGATACCTTTGTGGGGGTGGGAGAAAGGGCTGCTACGTGGAACGTGCCCCTAAACGCAGTACAGCCTCGCTCTTCTACGTGTAACCAAGTTTGTGAGATACATGTGGCTGGGGCCCAGGAGGCAGGTCAGCCAGTTGTGTCCAGGTCACAGAAAGGAAGAAAGGCTGCAGAACTACCTTTCAAATGTGGGAGATCCCAGCATAGATGTGGGGAGCATGAGGGAAGAGCTAATTTTCTGAAGATGAAGCTCATATCTCCACAGATACAGTGGGACAATTTTGGTACTGTAAGCAGCACAAAACAGGAATTTAGCCTGCACACCCAGATTTGGGAGGGGTTTTAAAGCATTTTTTGTTTGGTTGGTTGTTTTTTTTAATCATCTGATTAATATGCTGATGTGTGTTTCTTTAAATGAACAGCACTGCAGGCAAAAGACGTGCACAAGGGATGAGATGACTTGTAAGGAAATAAAAGTTGAGTTGCCATTATTATGTGGAAATTGTAGGGAAAAAAAAGGCCAAAAGGTTAATATCTTCAGACAGCGGTTGCACCGTGGAAATGTCCTGTCTGCTTTTACAGTCTTCACTGTAAATGATGTATATTCTCTGACCATGAAGTATTACTTTATCTTCCTACAAAAAAAGAGGCTGTATGTGCTGTCATACAGTAGCCACCAAAAACAGATTGCAAAACTGAGGTTTTGTATATGAATCATTGCTGATATGGAATGATTGCAATTATGCTCCATTTTCCATCTGGAATGTGGCAACTCACAGGACATATGTTTTAAAAGGAAAGATGAAAGATTGCTCATAAAACTAACACCCCTTCAAAGTTCACTGAAAAATGCTTGTGCTCTTACAATAATTTGGTTTTTTGGTTTGTTTTTGTAGATGGGAACCAGTGCAGCTCAAATCCTTGTCATTATGGTGGACATTGTAAAGATGGAATCGGTTCCTACACTTGCTCATGCTTGGATGGTTATCAAGGCAAGAACTGTGAATTTGGTAGGTTTCTTCTTTAGAGAACTGTGGCAGTGAATTTCCCAGGGAGCTGAACCATAGAGAGTTAACTCTTTCTTAAGGAGCGTTATTTGCCTCTTGGAAAAATGCCTAGAATACGATGACAGTCAACAATGAATTGGAGGACAGTGCCAGAAGCACAAAGTCTTGGTGGCTCTACAGCTAGGTAGTGTTAGAATCATAGAATAGTTTGGGTTGGAAGGGACCTTTAAAGGTCATCTGGTCCAACCCCCTGCAATGAGCAGGGACATCTTCAACTAAATCAGGTTGCTCAGAGTGCCGTCCAATTGTGAATGCTCCAAAGTTACACTTACTCCAAAGAAAGCCCTCTTATGACAGTACCTCTTTACATAAGCTTGAATCCCCAAAACATGCTGATAAAACTAAGCAGCATAGGATTCTTAAAAGTGACATCGAAGAGCCTTTACTCCAAGTCCAGAACTACAGCTTCCCTGCTCAGCTCACAGCAGTGAAAAACCAAAGTGAGCAGATTTCAGTAGACAATGCAGGCTTTTTCAGCCTTGCTAGGAATTATTTTTTGCATATAAAATATGGGTATTTCCTGAGTCTCACTTCTGTAACATACAGCTACTACTCTAATGATGTCATTGGAGCATGTGTCAGTAGCCCAGAAGTAAGAATGGTGAGCCCAGGGTAAGAGGGTGTGGAACTGAAGTTCAAACATGGGACTGAGGGGAGTGATTAGGAGTTGAATTTTTTAAGGCAGGAGGGAGGAACCGTGTGAGGATTTACCAATATCTGGACTTCTTTGTTTTATTCATTCTCCCACTGTCATTTTGTCTCTGCTTTTTTAAGCCCATCATGACATGGCCACTGGGCCCACTTGGACTTGGCAAGTGTGTTTCATGCAGTGGATGTGACTGCTTTGTAAGGCATAAGCTAATGTTAGCCACTCATGTTATTACTATGATGTGCTTCTCCACAGATGGAGATACAGATCCTGTTTAAAGAGTGTGGTTTAATTTGGTGAACTTCAAGATCTTCTGCAGAGTCAGTGTTTATTTAGTTTTTCTCCAAACACCTCTTTTACAGTCATACCAAAGTACTGCAAAATAAACAATGGTGACTGTGAGCAGTTCTGCAGCATCAAGAAAAGTGCACAGAAGGATGTTTTGTGTTCGTGTGCAAAAGGGTATATTCTAGCAGAGGATGGCAAACGCTGTGTTTCATCAGGTATGAAGCTATGTGATAAACCAATAGCAATGGCAGTGAGACTTGTTTCATAGTTGAAGAATGTTTTGAACCGTCACTATTCTGCATGACATAGATTTAACACTGAGGCCAACTGATACGTATTTCCAAAGCCTTCTGTTTGTGAGGTGATGCGATGGACTTATCAAATCTAGCTGATTTGGAACCCTTTGCAAGGTGCCTCTCACAGAATTACCTGAGTAAAGGCCTCTGCTGACAGGAGAAAACTGATTGCAGTTATATCTCATTTACTTAAACACACACCATATAACATGGCAGCTTGCAAAAACTTTCCTACTGTAGATTTCAGTTAACCTGATCAAATAGTAACTGATGACCTGAAATAATTATGATTAATGCTATTTACATTTGTACATTTTTGTTGTATTTCAACAAACCTGGGAGAGGGATAGATCAAGCATATACACATGATGTCAGGTTTTATATGCTTTAATAATAAATTGCTGTCATGAGCTGTATTATTCCTAACATAAAACATTTAGTTTCCTAATTAAGATTGTTTTAGTAAGAGCAAGTACATGAATACAGCAATGGAAACTTTGAAAAAACTGTCCAGAGACTGAACCTATGGACAAGTTTTAGGACTACAAAATGGCTTTCATTTTTTCAAACCTTCTGGTCTTCCCTCTTTGTTGCATCTGCTGAGGTTTTCCTAGTGTTTTGAAAATAGGACAGCTGCATTAACTGCTTTATTGTGAGATGGTGTTGTCAAGGAGTTTCCTCTTGTGCTGGTGTTTCTGTCCATCTCTAATTTTAACATTCTCATCTTTACAGTAAAGTATCCTTGTGGAAAAGTTTTTGTGAAAAGAAAAAAAAGGTCGGTTATTTTACCTGATGATAATAGCAATGTAACTAGTGATCAAGATGGCCCCCTCGCAAGTGGCACAAGTTTGGAGGAGGACATTGTTACTACCACAGAAAGCCCAACCCCCCGTCCTGGCAATGAAACAAGTAGCAAGACTCCTTATGTCATTACCAGGATAGTAGGTGGTGATGAGTGTCATCTTGGCGAATGTCCGTGGCAGGTAAATCTGGTGTTTGTGCTCTGCATGTAAGTAGAACGTGTTTCTGAGGCAAAACGTGCAATTATTCATTTAACCTGGTTGCCTTCTGAATGTTACTCATGTAGTATCCTGTTTGTAGCTGGAGGTAGCTGAATTGTGTGAACCCAGGCACTTAGATGGGCTGTTCTGCAAACTGCAGCCTTAAAATGTCAAAATGAAGGGCTTTGTGCAATTTTAGATGGTGCTGCTTAACCTGTCGCCAGAGAGAGCTTTTGAGTCATGCTGGTCTACCAGTGTCATTTTTGCAGGTTATATTCCAGTGCTGGCTGATAGCAGTCCATTTAGGTAGTACACCTGAGGGCACGTCAGATAAAGCATGCATTTGTTTCACAAATACGCTTTCATATCTAAGTTTTCCTCTTGAGTTTGGACCAGCCAGAATGAGTTCCTATATTTGGGACACTAAGGGGGCACAAATGGGAACATAACTTGGACAGGACTTCTTTGGGGTGGTAAGTCCAAGGGATGAGGTGATTTGGGTGCTGCAGTCTCCCTGTTCAATCAGTGCCTTGTTCCTACAAGACGTTACTAAGGACTGTGAGTGAAGTGACGTGGAAGCCAAACATTGACATGGCGTAAACAATTGAGACTCTGTAGCAGTGCGTGCCAATCTGTAGCATACACGTGTGTGTGTGCAACTTTAGGAGACGCAATGTAGGACATGTTGTAGTAATAAGTATATATGTAGCGTGCAGAAAAATCAATTACCTGTTTATAGCTCATTGAAGTTAAACTGCTCCTCTTAATTCTGTACTTACCTTTTTAATTTCACAGGCTGTTCTGTTAAATGAGGCAGGGGAAGAGTTTTGTGGTGGAACTATTTTGAATGAGAATTTTATACTTACTGCAGCTCATTGCATGAACCAATCTAAAGAACTCAAAGTTGTTGTTGGTAAGTGGTTACTTATTTTACTCCTATGATGTTTGAGCACATGTTGTGGACTAATCCTCTGTGCTCTAAATCTCATGTGAGATGTATTCATATTACTTTATGGTTTGTTACTTTTTTGTTGTTGCTTTGCTTTTTATAATTTCTTGTTATTGTTGGAATCCTGTTTTGTAATAACAGGGGCAGCTGATGTGGAAGGTGATACAGGTGCATCCCTTTCTTCTTTGCCAGCTAGTTGGAAGTGGTTAAGAACAAGTTCTAACAGTGTTGGCTAACATTGTGTTCATCAGAATAGTGCTTCTTCAGAAAGCTGCTCATTCCTGGCACATCTGAAGCATACAGATTTGTTTCTGCAGGAACACTCAGGAAAGCTATGACACATTGGCTAGAGGAAGAAGAAATGAACTCAAATTATGATTGCTTCACTTCTGAGGCATGATACTAGATCAACACAACTTTATATTTGCACTGTTTTAGTCTTGGCCCAAACTAGTTTCTCTTACCTGATGTAAGCCAGGCTTAAGCTCCTGTAAGAGCTTCCACCTGAAGTTGCATTAGTTTAGCTGAATTAGTTTATGCTTTTATGTAAACTGGTACAAAAATCTCAATAGATAAAAGCTCAGAACTTAAACTGATCCAGGTGCTGCTAATAAATATTGCAATACATTTTTACAGTTTACTTGTATGGTATAAAGGCTTAGGCAAAGTGTTAGGAATGGGTATACTACTCTCCTCTTTTATCAAGGTTGTTCTTAATTTCTTATACTATCTCTATTAATGACCCTTTTAATAATCTCATACAGGTGAAGTGGACAGAGAAAAGAAAGAACAGTCTGAAACGATGCATACTGTGGACAAAATACTTGTTCACTCTAAATACATTGCCGAGACTTACGATAATGACATAGCCTTAATAAAGCTGAAGGAACCTATAACGTTTTCTGAGTACGTTATCGCAGCATGCCTCCCCGAAGCAGACTTTGCTAATGAAGTTCTGATGAACCAAAGATCTGGGATGGTTAGTGGCTTCGGGCGTGAATTTGAAGGTGGACGACTATCCAAAAAACTGAAAGTGCTTGAAGTCCCCTATGTTGATAGGAGCACTTGCAAGCAATCCACTAACTTTGCAATAACAGAAAACATGTTCTGTGCTGGTTATGAAACTGAGCAAAAAGATGCTTGTCAAGGAGACAGTGGAGGTCCCCATGTAACCAGGTATAAGGATACTTACTTTGTTACTGGAATCGTTAGCTGGGGAGAAGGATGTGCAAAGAAAGGCAAATACGGTGTCTATACCAAACTGTCCAGGTTCTTACGCTGGGTAAGAATGGCCATGAGACAAAATTTGTAGTGGTGTGGCTCTTGATCCTTCCGTTAGCTAACAAGATGCATTTTCTGTAATGGAAACTTTATTCTTTGTTTTCAGCCACATCTGATAAACTTGTTTGGAGAGCTGATTCCTTAAAGTTATGGTGCTGCTTCTTTTTGTTTTATTCCTGGCTTTAAGCATGTATATGTGGACTGCGGGTGTTGGTTTGAATTTGTGCGATGAGGGACTTTCCCCAAACAAAATGGCTGCTGAGTGGGGTCTTTTGTTTGCCTGTTTGGTTACTTTTATATTGCCATTTTGGTTCCTGTCTGTTTGCCCAAGTGCTTCCACCGGATGCTCCTGGACATAATATGAGCCTCCCCTAATCATGATGGAAGTGGGAAGGACAGGACTTCAGTTAATCCTCATATTGCAGCCAGCTGACTCAGTAGCTCTGTTATTACTAGAGCTGTTTAGCTTCTACCTGCAGATGCATTTAGAAGATTAAGGAAGCAAGGAAGCTTGCTTGGTAGAAGCTGAGACATAAGTAAGTATTCAACATGTAATGCTAAATAACCCCATGTTCCACAAAATTGCCTGCATAGGTCACAGCAGCTAATTAAAATGGGGTTTTGCTTTATATGGATTGTACTTCACTTTAGTTTAATTTGAACACTTCTGTTCTGCTCATCAGAGGGAAAAAAAAAGTGTATGTTCAATTTCCTGTATCATGCTCTGGATTGTGTATGGCTGAGGATTGGAAAGCTCCTTGCATGTGGACTTGTTCCAGGAGTTTCTGTAAGGTGCAATATTGATGTACACCAGCATTTGAAATAAAACATTATTTCTTTTTTGTTCTTTTTTTATTTTATTTATTCCCTCCAGTCAGTTTACAAATATATGAAGACAAAATCTCATTTAAGAGTGAAAAAAGACTGAATATCCCTAAACAAATACGTGATGAATTTCACCTGCCTTATATCAAGGCTAATGAGGAGGCAGAGAATGGAGGGGGGGTAATTGAAAGAGTTTCACTGGCCTAGAGGTTCATAAATAGCAAGTCAGATGCCAAGATACTAATTTTCTTAGAAAGAGGCAAACTCAGTCAGTGATTTCCCTTACATAGTCTGTTCAGGTACTATGATCTGATCTGTGTTACACCATTTCCAGGCAGAAGCTCTGCACTCTGATGGGGTTTTTTTATATGTGGAGTAGTGTTCCTCCATATATTTTTCTTTAAACCTTCTCAGCTTCAGTCCTAGTCACAAAAATCATGGAAAAATTTACAATGGAAAGGATAGGGCTGACATCAAAGTTAGAGCAGGTTGTGCAGGTTCTGGTCCAGTCAAGTTTTGAAAAACTTCAGGGGCAGAGATTTTGTTGCCTTCTGGGCAACCTGTTCCTGTGCTTTAGCACTCTCAGGGATAAAATCTCTCATGTCCAATTGGAATTTTCCTTGTTGCAACCTCTGACTGCTGCCTCATCTTTCTGTGGGTACCTCTGGGAAATAGTTTGCCGTGTCTTCACTGTAATCCCCAGTTAGGCAGTGGGAGGCTGCAGCTAGATCTTCCAGCTCTCCCTGGCTGAACAAACCCAGACCCCTCAGCCTTTTATTGTACAGCGTGTGCTCTAGGCCCCTAAACCTCCTTTCCAAGGCTCCTCCAATCTGTTATGCTCCCCTCTTGCCTGAGGTACACTGAACTTCACCAGACGCCTGCTACTTATCTCTTAGGCTTCGAGCTGGTACTGGCAAGTTTCGTATAGCAGGTGCTGTGAGCAAAACAGGTTGAAAAACTAGGAATACACTGCAGTCAGCAGTAAATGTGGACAGGAAGAACTACAGGTCAGTTACCCCAGCTTGATGGTCTCCACCTGTGTACGTAAACCCTCAGTGGGCTTCAGTGTTTGTTCAGCAATGTTTGCTCCCTGACTTCTGTCCACTGGATTCCTCTTTGTACCTTCTAATCCCTTCTCCCACGTTCACTGGTAGCCTGCCCTGTGCTCCTTCAGGGTGAAACATCCTCCTCAAAGGGACAACCTCAGGACTAGGTGTTACCCAAATCCTATTTACATACTCGTGCTAAGGGCATTCTTCTACTTCAGTGAAGCTTGAGGACTGAAGTCAAGTTAAGACTGGACTATATAAGGTGTCAAGGTGGCTGAGGGGAGGACCTTCCTCTGGCAATCATGGCACTTGCTGGGTTTTATTGGCAACTGGTGTGTATATACGTCCGTGTCAAGCCAAGTAGCACTTTGAGAGCAAGCACAGAGCTGGTTTAACAGATGGGTATGCAAGAGGGTGATGAAAGTCCATGTTTGTGTGTGCGCAACATGACTGTGCTTACAAGAGAAGTGTCATTATTCTGCAGAGTATGAGAGACTGTCCTTGGGCTTTGCAATCGGAGTTTGTTTGTCTTTTACAAGCAAAACTGGTTCCTAGAGAGCCTTTCATCCTGTGCCATGGTGCCTATAGTGCCCAAGGCTCAAGGGCTTTATATCCATTCCTCATTTTGTAACAGTGGCTCTGCCATGCTGAGAGGACATGAGTGCAACATCTGTTTGCATCTTGGCCCCCTGCCAAAGCCCATAACCACCTCTAGGGCTTCTAAGAAAAGAAAGAATTAAATCACACTTTTTTTTTAATGTAGGCTAATACTTTGGGGGTAATTTCACACAGCAAAATTTGAACAGATTATAAAATCCAGGCAAGAGGTAAGAGCACACAGTTGCTCAGTAAACTGGTGGATTTTAAAATACCGGAGCTCCTCACAGCAAGCAAACACTGCTGGTTTAGGCAAGAGCTGACCTTTACCAAGGATGGTGAAAGGAGATGCTCTAAGCTACTCTCTAGCGCTCAGGCTTCCTCCACCTTCAAGGAAAAGCCAGTCCTGAGAAGAAAGGGAAGAAAGGAAGGATGGTAAGTAAAGAGCGCAATCACTTTGAGGCTTTGGAAAGGACTGGTATGAAGAATAAAAAGGTAAGACGTTGCTCAGGCCTAGTGCAAGATTATGGGCAAGAGAGTCTTGTGCACGAGGCACTGGGCTTTGAAAAAATGAGGCTTCTTTAGAATAAAATAGAGGAGAAAAAAAAAGTCTGAGGAGAAACATAGCAATAGCCTTCATGTGCGCAAAAGTCTGCTGCAGAGATGTAGGGACTGATCAGGTCTTTGTGTCTGTGGTGAAGATAAAAAGACATAGCACATCTCAGTTGCAGCAAGAAAGTTTCGGGGACATCCTAAGTGGAAGCAATTTCCCAGAAGAATCCTTCGCTGGAGCCTTGGCCAACGTGCCAACAATAATAGAGGTAAACTTGATCCCTTGTGGGCTCAGTAGGCTGGGCCGGGTGATCCTGGAGGTCTTGCCAGCCCCTGTTTTCTGTGCTTCCAGGTGAGCCACACAAGCAAAGGGTCACAGTTATGGCCATGCATTCGTGAGCTATGCTAGCACAGTACTAAGCAAGGTTTTCCTTCCTCTTTACTGCTCCCTGGCACAGGTGACTTGCCTGACAGGGTTGTCTTCTGTAGGCAAAGCCCCAGAACACAAGGCCCTGTCAACAGCTATCCCCATGGAGTGGTGTGAGCCAAAAAACCCCAACCAAACCAAACAACCCACAACATCCAGAATAAGATGGAAATTGATGCATTTGTGAAAGTATGTTCTGGCCTGGTGCTTGTGACAGAGACTGGATTTTGTGTATCCCAGAAGCAACATGCAACTTGCTGCATCTGTAGAGGATACCTGCTTACCAGCTCCACCAGATTCAAAGGCTTCACCTACAAGCATGACCATCAATTTCACCTTACTTAAAGCATTTCAAACTACAGTGGTTTGCAATAAAAGAGACCAAAACCTTGTGCAATACCTTATAGGACTAACCCAGAAAAAAAGCCTGACTTTTCCCTCTTGTTTTTTCTTCTTCTGATTAGCTCCATGCTTTACTTGCTTCCTAAGGCACTAGCAGAGCTGGGAGGCAACATCTTTCCAAAATGCTTACTGAACTCTACAAATTTGGTGCCCTGAGCTGCTTTTCACTTCTGAGCCACTTTCCTGCTTCTTTCCAGCCTGCAGAAGGCACAAAGCTCTGGCTCTGGTTGTTCTGTCTTCCTTGGAGCATGGGCAACAGCCAGATCACTTACTCTAGCACCTTGCTGCCTGGCTAATAAAGGTTTCTTAGGGAGATTTTGTCCACATTTTCTGAAGATGTAGAGCCACCCACAGTGGATAAGGAGAGAGGGAATAGCCGTAGACCGTGGTCTTGCAGAGAAAACCACTATATGGCAGCATGGTATCGGGTGTTTCGGTAGCATAACTAAGTTTAACCATGCAACCACATGTTATTCTACTGAGGCACAACCTGCCATGGTTTATGGACTCCCCTCTTCCTGAGGAGCCTGAAATGCACAGGTGTCACAGCCTTGGTGGCAAACACACGCTGCTCAGGCAGGAGAGAGGGGCTTTGCTGACACAAAGCGCCTGCAAGCTACCAGGGTGGCATTGCTGCAGCACAGTGGCTTTTTTCTGTTTTAACATTGTCCCATGCTGACGTTGAGCCCAGGCTTTGCTCTTAGAGGTTTTTTTCTCATGAGTTAATGACCTTTGCACTGTAGCGTTTCTCATTTAGCAGGTGCCCCAGAGCCCTGCAGAGAAACCAGTGGGAGACGTGTGGTGAGCTCGGATGATGGCAATGGCAGGCCATCGTGGGACAATGTGGCTTCTTCCTGTTGTCCTCCTTTTCCTTCAGATGGTGCACACAGGTATGGCGTTTGCTTTAACTTGGCTTTGCGCTGCTTTGCCTAAACCACACAGGTAATTATTTGCCATTATTTGTGCTTTGTGGACCAGAGTGACATGAGTGAAAAGCTGGTAGCTTTGCTTTCTCACCCACCTTGCTCCCATTTGTCTGCTGCAGTGCAATAATATCCAGGGCTGAGTCACTGGGGGAATACTATTTTGGACTGAAATAATTGTGTCAGTGTAAAATACAGGGTTAATATGTCAATATGCAGGGCTTTCAAACTGACAGCACAATGTGCTATTCTTATATCCTCAAAAAATGTGATAATTAAATAATCCTTACTATCATTCATAAGCTATTGGGTGACCAAATGAACTCCACAAGGTTTAACAGTGCAGAGGGGAACAAGAACCCTACACTGTCACCCACTGTGCTTGTCTAAGTCTCAACACAAACATTGCATCTCCACTTTTGAGGCTGGACCCTGAGATGCTTCTCTACAGAGTAAGTGTGTGAATCATACTGCAGACATGATGCATGCCTTGTTGTTTAATTTTGCTGTAAAAGTCACTTGGTGATTACAGAGGGCTTACTGGAGACAAGTGAACAAACACCTGAGTCATCCACATTACAAGAGCTGGGAATTAGAGGGACATTTTGACATCCCAGAGGTAAGGGGGTAAAGGTACTTAGTGGGACACGGGTTGCCCTGACAATCTTCAGGATATTTCAAGGAAAATTTTCTCATACAAACATGTAGAAATCAATTTTCAGTGCACTCACCTACATTTGATTTTGATCAACAGACTAGAAGTGGCTGACAATGCAAAGACAGAAGATGACTTTAATAAAACTAACTATAAAATGACAGAGCTCATGAAGGAAGGAAAGAAAAGAATAAGAGAATAAAATTAATCTATCTTTTAAAAGAGAGAAAGATCAAGCTACTTCTAAAAACCTCCACAAAAACCCAAAGTGTAAGGCACGTGTCCAAACTATCCCAAGGTCAAGAAAGGACAGGAGGATTAATTAAAATCATGAGCTACTTCATAACCTGACCTCCAGAAGGAAGTATAGAAAAAAACGAGGTCTATATAAAAGAATTGCAAACATCTTGGCATAAAACCAGAAAAGCTAAGGAGTAGATAAAATAGGATAAACATGATGTGAAAATCAAGAGCTGATCTAAGTGTATGGCTATTGGAAAGGAGACCAAGAGGAATGTCAGCCTGTTCCCAATGGAGAAGAAAATCTTTATTCCTTAAGGTACCAGATTACTCGCATCCAACAAGGAAGAAAGAAATTGCTGAGTTGCACTAGTCAGGAGCAAATCACATCAACCTCCTCCAAGGACAGGAAAATAGGCTAGGTGGCTGCAAAAGATGCAGTACATGTCAAGTCTCTCCATTAAGGGAGGCTTCTAACATAATTTTATATAATGCTTTTATCGTAACAGAAAGAGAAACACTGGTCTGAATGAAACTGCTGTAAGTTTGGTGCACATCTGGTTGAGAAACTGTGCTAACTGGTTGAAAGATTATATGGAGTGCAGGGCTCCACACAGGTGAGCCTGAGGACCTCTGATATTTGGTATTTTCCACAGTGACATGCAAGATGGAAGAGAGTGTTTACTCACTGCATTTGTAGCTCATTCCAGACTAGAAGGATTACCATAAGTGGAAATGAGAGTTCAAGACAATCTTGTGAAACTGGAACAGTGGTCCAACATAAATAGGAGGCAATTCAGTAAATACAAAAACAAAATTTCACCCTCTGTCCCACAACACACAACCAAGGAAATTTGTAAAATATGTAATAAAAGCAAAAAGTCTTCTCCGTTTTCATGAGGATGAACAGCTAGGGCAAGAAGTAATGGGATCCCACCACTCTGAGGGACACTCAGGTTAGATATTAGGAAAAACTTTTTAGATGTTATAGTTAGGGAGTGGATTAAGCTGTGTGGGTGAGCTGTGGAATCTCATTGTGAATCTGTAGGAACAGGTTAGACAGCACCTGCTGGAACTGGTTTACTTCTCCTTGCTCTCACACTGCTACTGCCAGGAAGAGGTCTCCCATTCTGCAAGTGCTCTTGCAATGCCAGGGACTGAGCTAAGGTGAGTAAGGTGAGTAGTAGGAGCTGTACATAGATGAAAAAGGAATATTGCAAGGGTATACTAAGAGTTAAATACTTCATTCATTACTGATACTTTAGTTGCTCCTAATTTTAGCCTCTTACCCACACCCAAGTTCATCTTTGCCTTAGTATGATGGCTGTTTGGGTGAGTATGGATTATCCCTTGCTTTGCCTTCAAGCTGCCAGTTATAGCTGGGAAACACAGCATAAGATGTAAAACAATAGTGATGTACCTAATGTTGACAGTTTACCATTTTTAAAATAATGATAGTTAAAATTGTCGTTATTACTAAGGCCTTTGGCAGGAATTGCACAGAATTTCCCAAAACGGTGAGGTGTTTGGCTAGTGTTTGCAAGTGAGGTTTTATGAGCTGCTTGTGCTTTTATGAAATCACCATGAATCTGTAACCTACCTATACATTTGTGTCCTTTGCAGTCATACCAAATGCATGTAAGGTCAACAATGGGAACTGTGAGCAGTTCTGCAAAACTGAAGATGAAGGAGTCGTATGTTCCTGTGCTGCTGGCTATGCCCTGGGCAGTGACAACAAAACCTGCGTTCCTGTAGGTACAAAGCCACACTTAAAGTTCATTCTATTGGACAAACATCACATCTTCACCACGTTTGGGAAGTGCTGGTGTGTTGCAGTGCCATCGTAGCATGAAGAATGATGTTAACTGTTTATGCCTTTCACATGGCTTGCTTGAGGTGTTGCCAACAGATTTAATAAGATCTTAGCTAAAGGTCATGATTTAAGTAACATCGAATTGTGCAACTGTTAGTGATGTGCAGAAACAAATATAGCTCATGGAAGTGTTCTGTGCAAGTGGGTGCATTCTTGGAGAGGACTGCAAAACCCATGTCCCAGCAGGTATGAAGCCATATGAGAAATTGGTGATTACAACGGGGATCAGGTTTCTCTTCTCTCACAGACTGAAACAGGCCTTTCATGCTTCAGGAGACGTTATTAGAAAGAAATGGGTTAGATTTATCATTGGTGAAAACTGGTGTCTATTTTTGAGGCTTCCGGGGTGTGCTGAACGCCTGCAGATCCAAACGAGTAGGAACCCAAGAGGCTTCTCCCTTTACAATACACAGTTCACAAGGATTCATTATAATTTCAGTGTAGTGACATAAAGTGATTGCAGTATATCTCACCTGTTTCCCCTCAAACATCATCTTTTCCATCTAAAAGGAATACAACCTGCCTTTCTATTTTCTTCTAAAAGCAGGTTTTCTACAGTTAACTTACAGTAACCTAAATACATGAATAACTACTGACATTGAATTTAAATCCATCAGTTTTGCCTGCATTCAAAGTGAACATTAACGATTATTAACGTTAGTCTATTCTTCATCGAAAGGGTTGCCAAGCACTGGAACAGGCTCCCCAGGGAAATGGTTAAGTCACCATCCCTGGAGGTATTTAGGAAGACCTGTAGATGTGGTGCTTAGGGACATGGTTTATTGGTGGACTTGGCAGTGCTAGGTTAACGGTTGGACTTGATGATCTTAAAGGTCTTTTCCAACCAAAATGATTCTATGATCCTGTCTGTCTGATGATATTTGCTATAATGCCCTTTGTAATTTAATACCAAATTTTTGTCATGAGCTTATAATTCTTAACATAGAATACTTTGCTGTGTTTCCCAATTACAAAAGATTTAATAACAACAGGTACTCAAAAATAGTGATGCCAGTAACAGAAGATATTTAACTTTTAAATACTTTGAAAATACTGAACTCACTTGCCCACTTGCTCAAAATTGGCAAGTTTTAGAAGTGGAAAAATATTTTCATTTTTCAACCATTCTGGTCCTTTTGCATTTGCAAAGTTTTTATTAAAGTCTTGAAAAATCTAGCAGAGCCAACCCTCATAAAGACACTTGAATATCTAATTAGATTGCAAAAGGCTGCTGTCAAGTTTTCCTCAAACTGTTAAGTGAGTTTTCTCTCATTTTCATAAAGAGTTGATTCCCTGAAAGTGGCCTGTTTCCCTGAAAACCATGTTCTTCCACTGTAGCTACCCATCTGTAACTCTAAAGGCTGCTTTTGACTGCAAACCCCATGTTCCAGCAAGTTTGAATAATTTCTTGCAATGAGGAACAACACGAGGTGCACTGGAAGGTAGATTTACTTTTCTGACCATGAAACTGTCCCTTATACCAAGGGCTCTGTCAGACAAACTCTGTTGAATGGCACTTTGGTGACAGAAATTGATTTCAACAGCAACTGTCTGTCCTTCTGCTCTGCTAGAGGTTACTGTCCCTTGCATGTCACTTGACTTGGTGCCTCAGGGACAGCACAGGCACCACCCCCCACAGAAATGGAAGACCGTGGTCCTCCACATCCTATATATTGGCTTAAATCAGCAAGAAAGGTAGATCTGAGCTAAAGTGAAGGCTGGTAACAGCAGCTGAAACTTCACAGCTGTTTGCTCAGTGTTATGGACAGGAACGTCTTGCTCTCCACATGCAACACGTGCCTCAAAGTCCCAGTACAATCCAGACATCAAGTATTAGTGTTTTGGTTTTGCCTTTGCAGTCAAGTTCCCGTGTGGTAAGCTTCAGAGAAGTCATGAAGCCAGTCAAGAGAAAGTCACAGGAACCACAGCAAGTCCAGATGCTCATCCTGAAAATGAGGAAACCACCGAGGCCTCAAGCAGCCATCCAGAGGTCACCGGGGAGGCTGACCATTTACCCAGCGCGTCCCCATGGCACGTAAGGCACCTTTGTCCTGAGATGTTAACACCTGACCCTGCTCACCAAGACCGGCAGCCATTTACTCTTCATCATGCTCATCCTCACTTGCCAAGGGGACCTAACTTGATTTGAGACAGACTTCCCTGGTGTCAACATTCTGGGTGGTCATTCCACTCTCCTGAGTACTGTGTGTCTGCATAGGTCTCCTACCATGAATGAAGTGGTGTCTCCGTTTCAGCATCAAGCAAATGCTGAGAGGAGGATGCTAGAAGTAGGGTTGCAGGTACGGGACGTAGAGCTGGGTGAGCCACAGGGCCCCTTCCCTGCCAGCCACCCCATTATTCAGGTTGCAGCATGGTGGTATCAGAAGAATAGTCTGAGTTCCTGTTGTGGCCAAGACTAAAGTGAAACAAAAAAACCCAAGCAGGAACAGTGCTATTACAATATTAACTATATTTTGTTTAAAAAATAGCAACCAAAAACTGATGGTAAAATAACTGAATGCAGAAACTCCGATTTGAGCCAGGAGAAAGGTCTGTCTTGACAAGTTTCCCACTGTGGTGGCTACACCTCAGTGTAACTCTCACCACCCCTGAATGAAGGATGCCTTTGACAGAAAATACATGTGAAAATGTCTACTTTAAGAAAATTGCTTGAATCTCAACTAGCTGTTCAGGATTTCTCTGTACATATGTTTTTGTGGTTTACCTTTCTTCTCTCTCTTTGCAGGCAGTCATAGTAAATAAGTACAATGAATGGTTTTGTGGGGGGACAATTCTGAACGAGTATTTTATACTTTCTGCAGCTCACTGCGTTAAGCAGTATAAAGACATACAGGTTCTGGTTGGTAAGTGCTTCTCATTTTGCCCTTTACTACAAAAATAAGAAACTGTCCCGTGTTCTGGTCTCCATGTGCAAGACACTGAACTCTGCCAGAGTTTTTCTTACCCTCTTGTTATTTCTCATTGCTTCATTTTGTCTCTTGATTAACGGTGAAATACATGTTCAACTTTGTGGAATGGACAGTTTAAGCTTGGCTTGGCCTAGTGTAGCTTGTATATGATAGAAGCCAAGTACAACCTGGGAAGGTATGCAGGCAAGTAAGGTTGAGCTGATGTAGTTAAATTGGTCTAACATGACACCTTTATGCAATTTCCTGTGTTGGTCAAACCTTGTAGAATTCCAGATGCCTCATTCAGATGTTAGCAATAACTGTTTTGACAGCATGTAGATACTAGTCTGAGACTGTTCCATACCTGAAACCTCAAATTTGTTATTTATTACTGTCATTTATGAAAAAAGTAGTTTATCACACTGAAACATGGTGTTCTGAGTCATAAAAATAGTACTCAGCCTACAATAGTAAGACAAAAATTGTGTTTGCCTAAACTCCAATTGTCTGTCCATTTAATTCCCAAAGAGACTTCATACAAATTGAGAATGACTAAATATTTATAAATTCATAAATTTTTGTATGCAGAACATTAAAGTTTTAAAAGACAATGAATATCTACTTCCCGTTTAAGTCTGGTTTACTATGTTGCTCTACATACGAGAGGGGCAAGGTCCTTCTCTTCTGAGTTGAGGTTTTGGTTGTATATCATAAGGGTGCCATTGGGAATATTGTAATGAAACCCTAAACTTTTATCAAAGCTTTCATTGAGAGTATTATTCTGATAGCAAAGTTCTAGTTTTCTACTTGCTTGGCATTTTGGCAGACCTCTAAAACCCCTCCAAAATGGGTATAAAATGCTACAGCATCAGGATACAGGACTGGTCTATTTTATTTGTACAGTACAATACCTATACAAAATGCAAGGGACTTTGGTCTCTTCTTTTATTGAGATGCAGTTTAGATTTATTTGTTTGTATTGTGTTATTAAAAACTACTTTAATAATCTGACACAGGGATGGTGGACAAAGAAAAGGAAGAGCCACGTAGAGCAATGCACAGAGTGGAAAAAATAATTCCGCATGCTGAATTTAATAATAAAACCTATGACAGCGACATCGCCCTTCTGAAATTAGAGGAACCTATCACATTTTCTGAGGATGTTATCCCAGCATGCCTCCCAGAAAAAGACTTTGCTAACAATGTTCTGATGAGCCAAACATTTGGAATTGTCAGTGGCTTTGGGAGACCATTTGAACGTGCGCAGCTGGTCAAAAGAATGAAAGTGCTTCAAATCCCTTATGTGAACAGGCGTACTTGTAAGCTCGCCCTTTATAGCCCGGTCACAGAAAACATGTTCTGTGCTGGTTATGATAAAGATGGAAGAGATGCCTGCCAAGGAGATGGAGGAGGCCCCCATGTAACTCAATATAATGGCACTTATTTTGTCACTGGTATCATCAGCTGGGGAGAAGGGTGTGGAAGGCAAGGGAAATACGGAGTATACACCAAATTGTCAAAGTTCCTACCCTGGGTAAGAAGTATTTTGACAGAAGACTCTTAATGCTTTGACATTTAATCAACCTAATTGTTTTAGCCATCAGATTTGATCCCTAAGTGATATTTTCCTTTTTTTAACATGCTTGCTAAAATTCTGATAGTTTGTGCTTCCCTTAAAAGATGCCATCTATTCCTTCATGAGCTAATGCCTGATTTTCAGAACGTGGGTTTCAAACAGAGCTTACTGGTTTTGAACGATAATGAAATTTCTTCAAGTGGTTTAGGAACTCCTTCTGCTCTTGCTGTGATAAGCTAAATTTGTCTATTGGAGGCTTTGCCTGTGCTGATAAGCCCCCTCCCATTGCAATGAAAGTTGGAACTAACTCAAGATTTCTGTGGCAGTACACACTTTATAGAAACAAATCAGACCAGGATAATATCAAAGACAGGATCAGAATAGGACAGCATTTTAACAGCCTCTGGAAAAGCTAGCTAATTTTCTAGATTTATATACATGTACACAGGAAAAGCTAGAAAATGTGAAAAACACCCATGTATCCACAAGGGTCTAAATAACTGGGCATGTCACTAAATCAAATGAGTTGTTAGATGATGCTCATTGAATGGAAAGGCTTGATTATCATCACCTAAATCACTGGTGTCGTGGTATTTTCTTGCTTTCTTTCTGAGATACTTCCTTCACCAGCATTATTGATGTCATGATTTTAGCTATAATAAAGTGAATGCATTGCATATCCTAAAAATTACAATATTGTTGTATATCATCATTTATATAAAGCATTATTTCAGTTATTCACAACTGAAGAGTTTTTAAATCTACAAGGATAAATAATCTTTCGAGACTAAAGAAAAGCCTGAGTCTGTAATCAGCTGAACCTGACATCCTCTGTTTGCCTTATTTCAATCCAGAGGGAAAAAAAGACTTGTTTTTCAGCCAGCTCAGTGGTACATAAAAATAGTGAACTAGATATTAAGATATTTGAGTCCCTACAGAAAAATGAAGTACTCTGTGATATACTTTAAAAAGTGTGTCAGTAAATATTTTGGAAGAGAGGGAAAAGACAGATGTCACAAATGATATTATGGCATAAAGTGCGCAATATTTTTCTCATTCCCTGACTTCACAATATCCAGTTTGCAAGTGTGAAAGTCACCATTTTGGGGTAATTTTTAATATGGATTTTGTTGATCAGTTTGTAAGGAATAGGGTGGTTAAATTTGTCCTGTGATGACTGCCATCCTGTTCCTCTACAAAAAAACCTCAAAAAAATTGTGCTGGAGTCTGTTAGATTTGCATAATTTCCCCCCATTTTTCTCTGACACATCTCCTGAACTTCAGGACTGCTAAATGAGCTCAATCCTGGAGTGACAGCACATTGCAGGTCATGGCGTTCAAGGCACAGAAAGAAGGTCAGGCCCTGATGACTGCATGTGCGACTCCCTGACATCACCGCTCCAAAGGACTTACCCCGCTTGACTTCCCATAGGACCTCCATTGAAACCTCTGGTTATAGTTCAGCCCTAAACTATATATTGAGAGAGCTGAACCTGATACATGGAACTGCGGGCTGTGCTCAGGCGTGTCCCAGGGCCTACGGGGAGGCCATTGCACTGGGCTTGCGCTTGCTGACCCATTCCCTCATTGCCACCCATCTCTCCTTCTACCCAGCCCTGCATGACCACTTGCCCTGGCTCTGCAGCACCCCTAGTTTATTCATAACCTATTACAAAAGGCACGGAAACCTTCAACGGGCTTCAATCGCCATCTTTACCTCAGCGTGCATTCAGAGGAATCAGTCATCTGAGCTTCTCCTTCCTCACCTCCCAGTTTGCATTGCCAGGCATGAAACACCATCACCAACCTCCACAGATGTTCAGTACCAGGTAAGAACAAATTCTGTCTGCAGGGACAATTATCCCAGCTGCTTAATTGCAGAGAGAATTGTAGTTCTCACTTGGGACACAGACCAATGCACACAGCATCTGTGCTCTGCCTAAATGCTGTTTGAGTCCTCGCAGAGAAGACAAGTTTTAACTCAAGCCATCCTGGAAGATCTACTTGGAAAGTTGAGTAAGTTTTTTTTGCCATCATTTTTCAATATGGATGGATTTATTTTTTTTCGCCTGTCATAAATGCAGAAGTCAACTGCCACAAAGGCAATCCAGCAGTGTGGCAGTTGCACAAGGCCACAGAGCACGTCTCCCATGGACAGGGAGTCAGGTTTATGGCAGGAGCCACTTCCACCACCCAGTTACATCGGTGTGGGCTGTGGGTGGAAGCTCTCAGGGGCTGGCTTTGCACTGGCACTGCTGAGGTCAGGTCAGGGCTTACCTCCACCCAAATCTGTTGCTGAGGAAGTGACCGGCTGGTCATGGGAATGCCTTAAATCACAACATCTGGACACAGCTGCAGGGCTGCTGCTCCACGACCTCAGGGGAGACAATCAGGCAGAAGAGAGAGGAACAGGAAGCAGCATTAAAAAGTCTGAATTCCAGGTAAATTCCAAATGCTTTCTTACCTCCTCATTGCCCACTTCAGATTGTGTCAGTGTTCCAGGAGTCTGCCTGAAAATCCTCTGTTTAGGTTTCTCTGTAAGCCTTCCTTAACCATTTTTATCCTGAAGTCCAGGTTAGGGCAACGGAAAGATGTTATCAGAGAAAATGGGAGAAAAATCATAAAATCCTCATCCAAATGGCACAGACTCCAAAGTGATTTTTCTGAATTTTTCACAGGGGATCAGGATACTGCTCATCTTGGGGCAAAATTAACCACCTTATTAATCCCCCTTATCCATCACTGAAGCTGCATCTAGAAGCTTAAGTGAAATGGCCTTGTGTGTGCATGTGCTCTGCCATCCTCTGGCTGTTCCATACCCAGTTTTATTGCTTGCAATTTTGCTAGGGAAAAGGATATTAAGATAAAAGTGGAGAAAAAACAGGTAAAGAAACACAAAGGTGGAAGTAAAGAAGGAATGTATTTTAATAAATGAAATATTAACGACAATTTCTATTTTTAGCAATGTATGCACAGAAATTGAAAATGTCAGAGCTTGCATCTACAGAAATCACAGAACCATAGAAGGGTTTGGGTTGGAAGGGACCTCCAAAGATCATCTAGTTCCAACCCCCCTGCCATGGGCAGGGACACCCTCCACTAGACCACATTGCCCAAAGCCCCGTCCAACCTGAACTTGAACACTTCCAGGGAGGGGGGCAGATGTCAGAGTAGTTCCAAGTGGCTTTTTTTTTTGCTGCCAGGCTGCCAGGAGACTTGCACAACCTTGTGGCTAGGCTCAAGTCCTTGTTGTGGGTGCAGCATCCACAGGAGAGAATCAGAGCTCCCCGGGGTTACATTCCTCCCCCCTGCCAGCTCCCCCAGGATTTCCTGCCATCTGTAACCACACCAGAGGGGCAGTGCTGACACTCTGAAATGGCTGCAAGTTCCTCCATTTTTCAGAAATGTTGATGCGTTTTGAATTTGGCAAGAAAAGCTTTTTTTTTTTTCTTGCCGGTGGTGAGCAGAACTGGCTGATGACAGTCCAAGCATTCGACTGAATTATAACCAATTTTAACCGCGCTAGGGACTAACCCTTTGCAGAGTATGTGCTTCCTCTCCGCTGGCCGGGCAAAGTTCAGCTGACATTTTTTTTTTAGCTTCTGTACACACAAAGACCTGTGCTACTCATAAGCATGGATGCTGAAAACCTTGCTTCCTACGAGCAGAGTGTACATCGGCATGTAAATGGGATTAGCTTGTGGCACTCGTTGCTAGTTCTTGACCAAGACTGCACATGACCACGCTCACCTGGTTTCGACCGACTGGTACCTAGTCAGTGCTGAGGGATGCACTCCCGTTTTGCTGTTCCTAAACAGTTGTCTGCAAGGGAGCATTTCTTCTTTAATTTGAAAAAGCTCCCCTGTTCCTGAATCTGCTGCTTCCATTTCCATATCCTCAATGCAAAGAATAGCCTGAAGCTCCACAATATATCAGCTCTCTGGCAGAGGAATTACTGAGTTAAACCACAGTAAAACCTGGCCTCTGCCCTCTCTGTCTCTTTGAAGCTGGGAGTGAGTGCTGTGATTTACCTGCAGCTTCTCCACGGCTCTTCCCCATGTGGAGGGAGAGACCAGCTGGGCAGCGGGTGGCTGGTCACAGTCCCCTCCTCTGCCTCAGGCAAAGGGGTGGTGCTTTGGGGACCCATCATACTCAGGGCACGGGGCAGTTTTTGTCTTCAGTTTGCTGGGCAGGAGGTGGGCGATGAGTCACTGGCATGGAAAACAATGACATGGAGAACAAGGAGGTGGCTTGCACAGCCATGGGGAGTTAGCCAAAGTGGTGACAGGGCCATAGGGTTCAGCCGCTCTTTAGTGTTCAGCATCTCTTTGCTGCCCTGTGCCACCTGGGAGTGGACAGGCACTGCTGCAGAGTGGCTGCAAGTATGTCCATGGTTCAGGTCTGCTCCTACCTCCTTGCCCTGCCACCCGCGGCTCTGGGTAACCCGGAGCAAGGAGAGACCACAGAGGAAGCCAGCGGGGTTTTGAGGACCGTGCCAGAGGAAAAATGGGGCAGGAGAAGAGGCAGAGGCAAGAAACTGGCCTGGTCCGTCTGCAGCACAGATGGCTCAGAGCAGAGAGGCCTGGAGGGTCTCACTAATCACCAACTTATGCATCTCTAAGCACGTCAGAAAAAACACATCCTCCCTTTTTCTTCTGCCCCTGCGCTCCCAGAGCTGTGGTCTGGCAACAGAAAACACAGGACCAGGGTGTGGGGAGGTGCACGGCACAAGACAACGCTGGAGGGGTCTGCTCCTCCTGGGCCCAGTCCCTGTTCCTCCTCCTCCTCCTCCTCCTCATCCCACGGCCCCCAGCTCCCCGTTGAGGGCTGACTCAAGCAGGCGGCAATCCTTAGCCAGGGCTACAGGAAACAGGGGCGCGGGACTCCTTAATGAAACACGTCTGCATGTGCTCACTGTGCTAATTAAAGGAATGGAAAAAGAAATCCCAGTAACTCTTCATAAAGAAAGATGTGAGGAAAGGAGTGCC